ACTGGGCTAGTGACTGCCAGGCAGCGTGGTGGGGGCCCGCTGTAGAATAAGAGGAGATCGCTGCTGGGAGAAACTCGGGCACCGGAACTCCTTACTGTGTAGCTCAGGGAACCCTTGCTGAGAAACCAACACATCGTCTGGCCAGGGCAGGCCCCTGGTAAGTGCCGGCAGGAAGACTTTGAACCTGGGTCTCTGTCTCCTAGGCCATAACAGTATATGCTTGAAAGCGTGGGTTCCAAAGTCTGGTAGGTCAGGTTCTAAGCCCTGGCTATGCCAGTCAGCTGTGTGACTTTGGGTAGTTGCTTAACCTCTCTGAGTCTCTGCTTCCTCAGCTGTAAAATGGAGGCCATATCTGCTTCGTGAGATTGTCATCCAGATTATAACAAATTATTTTCAAATGTTTTTTACTCATTTGCTTTTTTAGAGAGAGGGGAGGGAGGGAGGGGGAGAGAGAGAGAGAGAGAAACATTGACTGGTTGCCTCTCACACTCCCAGAACTGGGAATCTGGCCTGCAACCCAGGCATGTGCCCCAACAGGAATTGAACCAGCGACCTCTCTCAGTTCACAGTGACTCAGTCTACTGAGCCAAGCCAGCCAGGGCTTCAAACTTTTAAAATACTACTTACTTACTGTGAGAAATGGCTTGTATTTCCATCAGCACTAGTTAGTAAACACATACTAAAACACATGTAACCGACATAAAATCTTTATGAAATATGCATGTTATATATGGTATATTTTGTTTTATATTTCATTTTTTTAAATTTATTTACTTTCAGAGAGGGGGAAGGGAGGCAGAGGGAGAGGGAGAGAGGCATCAATGTGTGAGAGAGACGTTGACTGACTGCCTCTTGCAGGCCCCCAGTTGGGGACCTGGCCCGCAACCCAGGCATGTGCCCTGACTGGGAATGGAACCGGCGACTTTCCAGTTTGCAGGCCGGTGCTCAGTGCACTGAGCCACATCAGCCAGGGCTTATATTTCATTTTTTAATAAAGCTGGTTGTGAGCCCCTAAATTAATTTCCTGACCACTGGATTAAAAATATAAGCCCTGGTGTATTTATAAGTACTGTACAGATAGTGCTGTACATCAGTACCACAGACTTACTCTAACTCTTAAATTTACTCTGGTGGCCCTGGGGTCGGACCTCAGTGGGCACTTGACCCAGGGAGGGGGGCGCAGCCAGGGCTCCCGGCACCTGCATATCCCTGGAGCCCAGGTCAGGACTCCGCCCCTCACCGAGCTTTCTCCTTTCTTAGCCAGACTCTGAGCTTCTCGAGGCAGCAAGGACCTTGCTCTCCACTTGATCCCCACACCTGGCACAGTGCCCCGCACCTGAAAGGCGTGATGGGGGTACAGAGTGGGCACTGCTGGGGTGTGATCGCACCTTGCTTGACGGTGAGACGGGCTGTAAGAGCAGCACCTCCCGCTGGGGCTCTTGGAGGACGAGGTGGCCTCGTGAGGGTGAGGCACCGAGGCAAGCACCTGGTGGGGCTGGCGGTGGTGGTCTTTCCCCCCCAAGAGCATATCCGACTGCGGGTGAGAGTGACGCTGTTGTGAGACTTGAATTTACTCTCACTTTTAAAAAATACTAATTTGCAGAATTAAGAATAGATTACTCATTTAGGGACTTTCAGTTGAACTTGGCGCATCAGTGTTTTGTGGCCCTGAGGCACGAGTTCCTGCTTAGAACACAGAACACAGGGGGCCTTTGTGTCGTCCATGGGGGGAAAGCTTCTCAGACCCTTGGAGAACCACAGAGACGGCCACGGTGGACCGCGAGTGTGCCCGGCCCCGCCGGGGCTCGGGGTGGCCCCGGCCAGAGCAGGGGACCCTGGAATCGAGCCAGGGTGCCAGAGGATCGTTTCCAAAACCCAAAGAGGAAGGCCTGCTTTGTCCGTTTGCTTGGCTGACGCTCCTGCCCCGGCCAGCCCACCGCCTGCCCTGGCCTCCGTGCTCACGCCAGGCCCGCGTGGCACCTGCACCATCCAAGAGTGAGGGCGCCTTGTTCTGCGGGCTTTTCTAAGGGGGGGGGGCGGCTAGAGGATGCATGTTACAAAGTCGGGTGTGCTCTCCAGCGATACTTTGTTAGTGTTACTTTAGGGGAAGAAAAACAGGAAGACATTCTCCTTACCAGTGGGTGAAGATGGGTCCAGTTGCCTTATATTTTTTATTCAAAAATCATTGTTCAAATTGGCAGAGTATTGCTCTTCAGAAAGTCTTTCTCATATTGCTGTGTGAGTGTTTTCCATGGGAAGCTCGTTTCCCCATAGCCCAGGGGCGCCCCGTTATGTGGTGTGCGAGGTAAAGGAGAACTGCACCTGCGTGCGCGTGTGTGCGCGTGTGTGCACGTGTGTGCGCGTGCGCTGGAAATGAGCGAAGGAACCATTAGGGGAATTAGGACTGATCAGCAGGTGTTTTTCTTTTTTTCTTTTTTTTTTTTTTTGCAGTAAAGTGACAGTAATTAGCATGAACTTGAGTTTGACGGTGTTCCATGTGCCTCCCTCACTTGACCCCTCTTCCTCATGAAGACCGAGCAGACCCCCCACCCCTGCCGCTCTCCCGGGGGTGGGACATGAGCCGTTGGCTGTGTGAGTGCCTGGTGCCACTTGCCTGCCTGCTCTGTTCGTGTTTAGGCACCAAGTGGGAATGCTTCCCGAGGCAGCGAGACTCTAACTCGGGCCTCTCGGCCTCGGGCTGCGCACTGGCACAGGGGCCCCCCACCCCCGCCTCGCAGTCGGGTCTGGCTTTGAGGGGCCGCCCTCCCTCGATGGGGCAGCTCTCGGCGGCCCGCCTGCCTGTGTGTGATGATGGCGTGTGCACTTTCATTTTCGGTTCTGAGCACCTGGACTCGTCGGCAGAGCAGCCGGCCATCAGAAACGACATGCGTGCGTGGCCCCCGTGACATGTACTTTGCCAGCAAAAAGGAATTTTCTTTTCTGTGACGAGCACAGCATTTCAAATGGCTTCTGACAGGAGCCTTGTGACTTCTCCAGAATCTCGTGAAGCTCTTTACTCTGTTTCTGCAGCTTTTCTGTCTGGAATGGCTGACAGTGGACAGCCTCTTGACAAGTCTTAGCGCTCAGCACAGCGGGGCAGCAGCCCAGGGCCGGCCGCGGTGCCCCGTTCGGGGACAGGCTCTGCTCCTCTGCATTCTCCTCATTGCAAGGCAGTTTCACCCCTCCGTCTTCAATGGACTCTCTACCCTTTAGAGAAGACTCCTGGCACTGCCCTGGCTGGTGTAGTTCAGTGGATTAAGCTTAGCAGGCCTGTGGACCAAACAACAACGGTTCGATTCTCAGTCAGGGCACATGCTTGGGTTGCAGGCCAGTTCCCAGCAGAGGACGCACAAGGGGCAACCATACATTGATGTTTCTCTCCCTCTCTCCTTCCCTTCCCCTCTAAAGATAGATATCTAGATAGATAGACAGACAGACAGACAGACAAAAAAAGAATCCTGACAGTAAGCACAGAAGCTGACCTCAACAGGGACAGCTAACCAAACCCGAGGGCACTCTCTCTGGACCATTCTGCTTCAGACCCACTGCCCCCGGGGTGGCAGTCCACTCCCACAGCGTTCGGGGGCTGAGTGTGTGTCAGGAATTTCCTTCCCAAGCTGTCTTTGTCCAGTCTTCACACGGAGTGGGAGTCGTGAACATGACCTGTCCCCAGCGAGAGAATTTCCATACCCAAACTGGAAATGCAAAAAGACATGTCTGAGAGTCGATGAGAAACAATTCTCTTATCCCTGAGATAAGCAGGTTAGTAGGATATAATGTCCGTGTTTTGGCTGCAGACCATTATCTTGCTGTTGATCCAGGAGGATACGGTATTGACTCGGTGGCTGTATTTACTTTGTGCCAGCACCGTTCCTCTGGGCCTTTCTTCTCCTTTACGTGTAGCAGGATCTGCCTCCTTTTCTGATGTCTTTTATGACCAGTCCCTGCCCAGTCAGAGAAGGACCGGGTTCAGTTGAAGCAGGAGGAAGAGCAATTGGAGCTGTATTTCAGGTGCCAAGTCACGTCACTCTGTCCCGAAGTTGGTGGCATCGATCCGTCCCTCCCACTCGAGACCTGCCTGTCCTGCGCACGGCTTTCCCCAGAGTCCCTTTTGGACACTGTCGTTAGCATATTGCAAGATTCATTCAGTTTCTCGTAACACGTTCAGGAGTTACCCTTTTTCCTGGTCTGCTGACTGTGTTTCCGGGGCTGCGTTTGCCAGAAGACAAACCCCACAGAGCCCTTTTCGCTGATGGCAGCGAAGGAGACACACTTACCGATGGCTGAACGAGGGGAACGAGCACAGCGTGGAGCAGTAGGGGCTTTGTGGGACCTCGGTGACGGAGCTTGTTTTCCTTAGAGAGGCCGCAAGGCACTGTTGTCTGTGTGAAGTGGCCTTGAAGGGCAGTTGCTCCTTCCTAGCAGCTTACGTGGTCCACAGACTGCGCTGGTGGGTTGGCGAGGAGGCCGGGGAGGGGCGGGCCAGAGCCTCTCCTCGACGGTCATGCCGCCGGCGGGGCTGGGAGAGTAGGGGGCGCCCCACAGGCTGCCGGGACGTAAGGCATGGTCTTGGTGGCTGCATCTGCCGTAGAGCAGCCCCTCACGATGCCCCCCAGAGAGGAGGTCAGGTCCTCTTGCCGGTCTTACAAAGAGAAAGAAGGAGCTCTGTGCACGGGTCCAGAGCAGGAGGGAGGCGGGCGGTGAGAGGGATTTAGACGAGCAGGATCTTCTCCCAGGCTCCCCAGCATGTGGACACACAGATCAATTTCTTATCCCGCGTTCAGCTGGACACTGGGCTAGCGGCTGCGTTGATCAAGACGTCCCCTCCTGTTTCATATCATGTAACGCATTCATTTCAGCCACTGAGCCTAAATTACTATTTGCTTTCTTTCTGCTTTTCTTTTTTTTTCCTCTCAAAACGGTAAGAACTTGTGTAAGGATGAAGTTAGTTTATCCGTGCTAATGCTTTGATTTTTCTTTTCTCTTTCTTTTTGCCACAGTAGGTAACCAGTTAGGGGCCTTGGTACATCAAAGGTAAGCAGTGGGTTATGTTTTATTATTTATTGATCATTTCTAATTGTTTATTGATCCACCATCTGTACTAGAGGGTTAGAAAGTCGGAGGTTGAGAGTGGAAAGCCATCGGCTAGATTTAAGACTCAAGTTTTTTGTAGCCCTTTCCAAGACAGTAAAAGCTCAAAGGATAAACTAACACAAGGATTAAAAATCAGCCGCCAGGGTATGTAAACTTAAAAGACTCCTAGAACGTTGGCGCTGCCTCCTCCCCACATACATTCTATTTAAAGGAGAGAAAGACATTTTCCCTCTTGTGTTGATGGTTTTCCCAACACTTTATGAATTCGTAACCTCTTTACTGAAGAAAGGGACATCTTCGGTCCCCAAGGAATCATGAGCCTGGGCGGCCAGGAGCCTGGGTCCCCACCCCTGCCGCAGCAACTGGGACTCGCCAGAGAGCCTCAGATAAGGGCCCTGTTGATTCCCTACCTCAGTTTCCCCTCAGAGCCTTCCCTTAAACATTGTAGATTAGAAAGATACAAAGACCTCTGGGATTTAAAAAGACCAGTCTGTAAGACGGTATTTGCAGTCACAATGTTACCCTTTACAAAGGTTAAAATATACAGGAAACTCTATGCCTCAGCCTCTCCTTGTAGCAGATGAAATTGTATGACTTGTATCTATTATTATAATGTGTTATCCTTAACCTTCCCTGGCTGTGCTACAGTTATATTCTCCTGTATGCTACTCAGATGTTTGGGGGAGCAATCACCAGGCATCGGTCAATCAAAAGATTTGAAGAAAAAAAAAAAAAGATTTGTCCTAGGTTTTTTGTTCCTTCCTTACTTGCTTTGTTTTTAACGAATTAGAGTAATATGAATGGGGTAACTTCCCTATAGACCCATAATTAACCAGAGTTTTACTTTCCTATACAATCTGTATCAGACAAGTCTCAGCCCTGCATTTGGAATATAGAGCTTTGTTCTGCTGAAGGCCCAAAGCAGTTCATTTTCATGTGTTTCCTCCTCAAAGAGAGTCTGCTTAAATTGTCCCTGAGCGCTGAGGAGCTGCCTGCGCTCTGTGACGTTTGTATTGTGACAGTGTTGACCCTCTTCTAGCACAGCCCGCAGTAGTGGTTTCTGAGAACAGACAGTGCGTGCTGCACGAGCGGCAGCCTCGTAGCTGCACAGGTAGGAGCACCGTCCCCTTCCCCGTACTTGTGGCAAGATGTGTCAGGCCAGCCGAGGCTTGGCATCCACACCCGAGGGGTCATCGGTTAGGAGCCCCAGACTTGCCTCCTTTCCGAGGGAACCGAGGATCCTGGGCCGTGAGCCCCTCCTGGATGCGGCGGTTCTCGCTCCTCACGCCGATCCAGTGGCGAGCACTGTTGGTGCTGCAGCCTTTCTCCTTCCTGAGTGCTGCACTTTCCCTAAAGACGGGCACTTGATTCAGTGCCTCTGTGATGGGTACAAGTCCCGCTGTGTGAGAGTTGCTTAAAAATGCTTGCCTTTTTTAAAAACTGCTTTCATTAAGCATTCTCCAAAGGTAAATGTTTAGACTTAATTGCTTCCTGGGGTGGTGGGCGCACCGGATATTGTCCACAACCCACCCTGTGGCCCATCAGGAAGGTGAGAGCCCTTGCAGTGGCAGTGGTTGTGAGAAGGAAGGAAGAAGGCTCTGTGGTGGGGAGAGCCGTTGACCGAGTGCCTTGCCAAGGAGGCGAGGCCACGATTCTGTCCTGGTCAGCGCTGGTTAGGGCTCTGGAGACAGGCCCCACTGGGGGCGCCACACCCTGAAAGTTAGGAGGAGACTAGAAAGCAGCATGGGGGGAACAAGGCATGCTGAAGAAAAGTTGAGCGTCTCTGCATCTCCAGAGGACCCCAGGAAGAAGCCTGAATCCCCCCACAGCCCAGAGGGTCTCTAAGTCACCGCTTGGCACTCAGCCAGGCCCCCAGGCCCCTCTGCTGTGTGAAAGAGAGGCAGTTGTGGGAGGAGCCGATCTGCCTCTGTGGAGGCGCAGGTCTTTTCAAGGAGTGACTGGCCCAAAAGTTCCTTAGTGGATGCTCTTTGTAGATGGTTGTAGGCTTATTGGCCAAATTGGCACAATTTCTTTTAAGCCTTTATCTTCCAGCATGACCAATACAGGAAATTGGGGGAACCTAAAGTGGCCACAGAATTCTCCTATATCTTTTTGCAAATGTTCTTTGTTTTAGGGCAGTAATAACGGAAGAATTCAAAGTGCCTGATAAAATGGTTGGCTTTAGTAAGTATCCGCCTATCACGCTTCCCCCCTTCCTGTCCTTTCCCTGGCGCGCTCCTTCTCCCACTGTGAGCATCCCCTGGGGCTGGCGCCCCCACGCAGCTCTCCGGGGTCTCCGAACGCCGTGGGCCTCTCTGCAGGCCAAGGCCGTCTGTGTCGTCTCCCTCTGCAGCTCAAGGGCCCCGTCCCCAGGCTGCACGCACGGTCTCTGGCCTCCCTGAGGCCAGCCTCGTGTGCCATGCTCTGAGCCACATGACCGCTTGTTGAACGCAGGGTCTTGTACGTGGTTAGGTGGGGACCTGGGGCACATTCTGACCCTGTTCATTTGTTTCAGTTATTGGCAGGGGAGGTGAGCAGATTTCACGGATTCAAGCCGAATCTGGTTGCAAAATTCAGATTGCTTCAGGTAAGGGCTTCTTTTTTCATAGGTCTCAGTCTGTAGAAATCAGTTTTTTGCCAAGTTTCCCACATGTGGTACTTCTTTGCTTGCTGCTGGATGTGTACCAGCAGGGGTAAGTATGTACGCCTGCCGTTTGCCTTGCGTGTTTGAAGCTGGACTCCAGACGGGGCTTCAACAGGGCCCCCCCTCTAGCCTCAGGGCGAGACCCTGCCCGTTCTGTGGCCTGGCCCCAGCACCTGCCACTCCAGGACCTCTGTGTTCTGCACCAGAATGTTATGCCAGGCATAGTGGGGCCACTAGGGTTCGCGTGGCTTTGGGTTACTCCTGGGGATCCAGCTCCCCTGGATCGGGCCACCCATGCCCGCAGTGGGAAGAGGCCAGCCGGGGGCCTGGCAGGACTAGCCCATGTGAAGCCCAGGACCTGTCCCAGCCGGTGCCATGTCAATGGCACAGCAAGGAGAGTGGCGGGCTGAGGAGGAACAGTTCACCTTTCATTTGTAGGGTTACCATGTGATGTGGGTTGGACCTCTTTCCACAGTGTGGGGGGAGGTTCGAAGGACATTTACTGAGAAATGTTTGTCATTTTAAAAGACACTTACTATAGTGTTCTGCGGGTAGTAGTTGCTATTAGCTAGTTCTCTTTCTTTCCCAAGAACTTTAAAGAGGCAGTCTTTTTAGGAACGAAGTAAAGTGTGACGTGTGTGCTGGAGAGTAAGACTGTCCTCTCTCATCAAGTGACCCGGAATCAGCTCCATACAGGTGTCTGACCTCGGGTGTTCATGCAGTAACTGGCGACAGCCCCAACGCGCACACCCAGGAACCTCTCACTGGTGTGCGTGTTGGAGCCGTGTGCACCGAGTGACCCGTGAGCTGCTCTGCAGGTGGAGGAGCAAGGAATAGCGGGCTCAGTCACTCACCCACTCGCTGAAACATCATTAGGACCCACTCCGCACACACACCTCTGCCGCGTTCCCCCACCTGCCCCCAGGGACTCGTTTCTGCTCTGAGACTCTTAGATGGAGCCGCCAGCTTAACATTCTCTCCACAAGGGGAAACAAACTATCTTTTTCTGGGAGCCTGGGCTTCTGTGGGGCTGGTGTAGGCACCAGCCCGGAGAGACAGCCCTGCACAGAGGCCGGGCTGGAGGTTGCCTGATACCCACCGACACGCCTCATCTTCTCGATTCTTCTTGTAGAGAGTTCTGGGATTCCAGAGAGGCCCTGTGTACTTACCGGAACCCCAGAAAGTATTGAGTAAGTTTGTTTTATTTACTTTTCCTTTCACTCTTCTTCCTCACTCCCCAACGGGGAGCAGTGGAGGGGCCAGCTGTCAGTGACCGCTGCCGCCCCGTGCGCAGTTGCGCAGTCCGGCCGCCTGGGCGGGTGCAGCCGCATCAGGGGAGTTTCTCTCTTCCCTTAAACACACACGGCGTCCGATTTTCAAAGCCCCCACAGAACTCGCAGCTGCCGCAGCACCTGCTTCATCAACCGGGCCCTAAGGAGTGTAGTAGGGTCCCTGCCTGAGTGCTCTCTCGCCCTCCGCCTTCCTCGTTAAGACCTCCTGTCCCTGCACAGGTCTGGGTGAGCGAGTCTCCCCCTTTGTGAACCACTGAGAATCCCGGTACCGGGTCCTTGGCCTGGGGGTGATCCCGTTGCCCTTCTGATGCTTGGGAGCCAAGTGGAACGGGCTCTTGCTGGCCATTGCTCCACTCTGAGGGCCACTGGGACCAGCTGGAGGGGGTTTTGACTTAGGCACCCTTGTGACAGCCTGAGGACTAGCCTGACTCCCTGCCTGGCACACGCGTACTCGAAGCCCGGGGCCGGGGGTAGGCCTCACCAGCCCCAGAGCCTCCTGGGAAAGGGGAGGCGCTGCTCGGCTTCTGCGCCCTTTCCCCTGCCAGTCTGCCGAGCAGCATTGTGTTGGGGGGGCGGGGTGCCGAGATTACGTCTGGCTCAGTAGGTAGGGCCCCGTCATTGTTTCCATTTCTCAGGGAGTCTAGATGAGTTCAGACTCTCTCGTTTTGCTGTAACATTGCAAGCAGTGAACCAGAAATGAACATCTCCGGCAGGTGTGCGTTACAGGGCAGGCGGGAGGGTTTGCTGGAGTCGAGGCGCTTTTCTTCCATCACAGGTTAGTCTAGTACACAGGCGAGATACTAAAACACCGCCGTGGCTGAGCAGGTGCACGGGGCTGATTCAGTGCACGGAGACTCGGGACCACAAAGGGCAGCCTCTGTTTCCTGCCTTTTTCCTCTTTCTTCCTGCCCTTCTGTCCTTGCTTCCTGTTCTGCCCACGCAGTGGAGGCCACGGGATTGTAACTTTGAGGAGAAACGATTTTGCTTTCTTCAGTGCACAGGACAGCCAGCCTGTTTAGTAGCTGAATCCTGTCCTGTCAGAGGAGCCAGAAAGATTGTACGTGGTGGTGTGGTGGTGGTGTGAAAAGTAAATAATGCAAATAACAGCCGGGGGAGATTCTGGTGCAGAAAAGGAAATGGGCTTCACAGGCCACCTGGGTAGGCCGGGTTGTACCGTTTCAACATTGTAGCATTCCTGCTCCGCCTCCAAATAAATCAGCACAAGGTAGCATCGCAGGGGAAGGCCAGGGGAAGGCCGGCTTCTGCAACAATCCCACTGGAAAAGCGCGAAGCAGGGATGTGCGGGTGCAGAGCCACGTCAGGGCACTGGCACCTCCCTTTCCTGCCCCTCGAGACCAAACTGGTGATGTGCAGCTTTAGCTGGAAAGTGGTAGAGCAGTCTGGTTGGTTGTGGGGAAGAAATCTGGAGTTTGGGGATTCAGACGATGACTACTAACCCTTGCTTTCTCTCTGCCCACCCTTCTTGTTGGCTCTCTCTCCCCCTGCTGCTTCTGTTTAACACGTGTCTACGGGGTGTGTGCTCTAGATGGGGGAACAGCAAGATGCAGAGCGCTGACTTTCTGATAGGAGAAGAGACATGTTTGTGGGGGGGCTGTGTCTCGGTGTTGGTATTGTGTTGGTATTGTTGCTTTTCAATTCCAGCCCAGTAGCGTGGCCGAAGGCAGAGAGCTCCGGGGTCGGGGCAGAGCTGGTGCTGGACGGGGGGCTGCCTTGACCCCTCGTGTTCTCCCCCCGGTGCGGTTCCCCTTCATGGCTACCCGGGGCGTTCGTGTAACGCTGGCTTCCTGTGGCTCTGTTCCCTCCCCGAAGACTAGCCAAGCGGCTCCTGGGGCAGATCGTGGACCGCTGTCGGAACGGACCCGGCTTTCACAGCGACGCGGACGGCAGCAGCACGGTGCAGGAGGTCCTCATCCCTGCGTCTAAAGTGGGGCTGGTCATCGGCAAAGGCGGGGAGACCATCAAGCAGCTGCAGGTGCGGGAGCCTTAGCAGAGGCCCTCACTGTCCTCCCTGCCTGCAGTGGGGGAGTGGGTGGGGGCTTGTCATAGCTCCGGCTTCCCGGGTTGACCTGGCTGGCTGCACCTGCCACAGGCCAGAGCCCCCTTGGAGCCCCAGCCCCCGTGGGTCCACGGACGTTCTCTGGAGCCGGGCCTCTGCCGCCTGTGACACCAGTCCTGGGACCCTGTAAATTTGTAGCAGCTGCTGTGGCAGTGAAGCTCTGTCACCGTCAGATGACAGCATGTGGGATAAAAATGCCGGCTCTGGAGCCAGCAGCCCTCCCTGCCTTCCTGGCGTGAGCTGAACATCTTCACGCACTTACAGGGCCCGGGGCCTCCCCAGAGCCTCCCCAGGGCAGGGGGGCTCCCTTCCTTGTAAGGAAGCCGCGGTAACCCCTGTGACTGTTTAAATAAGGCCTCCGCACCAGGCCCGGGACTGAGCAGGTGCTCTGGGAACAGCAGCTGCCGTAAGCTCCGGAACCCCTCCCCCAAGACACGTGGGACCAGGCTGTGTTCCAGCCTTGAGCGCCCACGGCAGGGCCGGGGCTGCCCCCGTAACGAAACGTGTTTTCATGGCTAAACCCAGCAGCGGTCACACTCTGGGAGAGGGGCTTGACATGTGCTTACATGGGTTCGGGCATTTTTACTGCCACGTTAGTTGCAAACAGACTCTAACTTCAGGGCTTCGGGGCTTTTAAGGCGGCAGGTCTGGGTCGTGGCCCAACTGTGCGCTCGCTCCTGGCCCAGGCCTTGGCCCGGGAAGGCGCTGCAGTGTGGGCTCGAAGAGTCCGGGGTTTGGACTTTCAGAATGTAAACGTCGCCCGCCCCTCACTTCTCCACACAGTTTGGGGGCAGCCTGCCGTCCAGGCCCCCCTCACTTGGGGGGTGGGCACTGTTAAGGGCCCAGCGGCGGGAGCCTGGTGGTTCAGAAACAGCTCCTGTGCACGTGGGTGAGTTAGGGGCTGGAGGAAGAGGAGTAGAGCTTGGGGAGCAAGCAATTCCTTCGTCACACTTAAGAGCTCACACTTAGGAGCCCGCTGGCACGGCCTCCATGTCGGGGTTCTTGGGGCAGCTCCCTGGGCCGGGGCAGAGGGCACCCCTCCATGGCAGTGAGGGCTGTACTGGTGTGTGTGCCTCCACAGGAGCGGACGGGGGTGAAGATGGTCATGATCCAGGACGGCCCGTTGCCCACGGGAGCAGACAAGCCTCTTCGCATGACGGGAGACCCGTTCAAAGTACAGGTAGGAGAGCAGCCGCGTGGGGCAGGTCCTGGGTGCGGGGTCTCCCTCAGTAGTGACTCAGAGCTTTTATGTTCAAGACATCATGAAACCGGATATCCCTTTGACTAAGGTAGGCTGTTCCCCACACTGGGTGGTGCAAAGAATCTAGGGCTGTGTCACCCGACACCCGAGCCTCTGGCCACACGTGGCCACCATTTCATTCAAAGTAAGTGAGAGTTGAGTTCCTCACTTGCACTGGCCGTACTTCAGGGGCTCAGAGCCTTGCCCCCTTCAGGGGCACCGGCCTTGCGCGGCGCAGTTTCCGACTTGCTACCTATGTTCAGCTCGGGCGCAGGCTCCACTGGGCTTTTATCTGCTTGTTCTCTTTCTCTGGGATTGTTTTTGCTGGATATGCAGCTGAGGTGGGAGGTGAGCATAGGTGCCGGCTGGCGTACCACCATCCTGTGTGTGCCCTGCTAACGAGCGCCGTGTCCCGAGCTCTGGGCCACCGCGGTTGCTGAGAGCAGTGGGGGGGCTCCCACCTGGGGTGGTTCCAGCCAGTGGGAGTGTGCGTGGGCTGTGGGGTGGTGTGTCCCTGCCCCTGAAATCCTATCGCTCCTTTCTGCCCACCTCCAGCCAGCCTTGCCTGTGCTGTGTTCAGGGCAGCCCCAGGGTGGCGCTCGTTGGTGAGCCAGGCCATGGCAACAGCTGTTCCTCTGTAGGGACTTTGGGCCTTTGATGACATGGAGGTTAGCGGCCTCTGGCAAACTGTTTCCCCAGCTCTTAATTAGCACTCATGCAGCTGAACTCCAGTTGGTGCCACTGTTGGCTTTCAAGGCACATGTGTAAAAGAATGGTTCCCAAACGATCGAGGGCCAGTGGTTCAAACGGCTTCCTCCCTTCGGCGAAGCAGCCCTTCCCTCCTCTCCCCAGTTGCAGGCCAGGGCCCCCCAAGTGCCTTCCTCCCCGGGGTGTTTAACCTCTTTGGGAGCCGGTGGGCTTGGTGAAAATCAGATGGTATCCCATCTTTTCTCATGTGGCTCCTCCAGCCCGGCTTGTGGACGCCATGGCTGCGACATCAGGGAACGGCCTGCTGGAGAGTGCTGGCGGTGGAGCGCCCACCTCCCTGCGGCCCTCCACGACTGTCTTCTCTCTCGGCACCTTTGGTTTTATCTCTGGTAGAAAAAATACCCGAGCAAGGAGCTTACTTATTTCATTGCTGTTTCATGAGTTTGCAGGAGGATAATTACAAACTTTTTAGTGTATTCCATATGTTTCATTGGGGAGAAGCTATTTGTGTTTAGGGTAAATTGTTGTTTGGGTTTTTTTATTTTCTCTCCAATTTTTTATTATGAAAAGCTTCAAACACCCAGAAAAACTGAGAAGATGGTACGGCAGGTATCTGCATGCCCTCATCTCACCTGTCGTTTGCCATCGTGCGCACGTGTCTGCTCATTTTACTTTACCGTTTGTGCGTGGCGGGTGTTTTGCCGGTCCACCCGAGTCCTGAGAACAGGGCCGCTCCGCTGTAAGACCAGGGCAGAGAAGCGGCAGCAGCTTGGTCATCCGAGGCCAGGCCACACTCAGGCTGGCTCAGTGCCTTAAGGCTCTACTTGCTCTTTTGGGGGCAGGTGCGAGGGCAGTTTGGTTTGTTTTCTCCAGAACCAGGACTTGTCTGGGTTCCCATGTCACCTTGGGTGGTGACGTGCAGTTGGTCCTCAGCGCAGCTTTCTATGGGGTGGGGCCTGCTATGGGCAGGATGGGCTGACTTAAGTGTGTCCTTTGTCCTTTGGGGAGAGGACACTGAGCGTGCCTTGGCGGCAGTCAGGCCTGGGGGCAGGGTTGGCAGGCGGTGATCAGGACACTGGGTCCCTGAAGGTTGGAGGTCCCTCTCGGGCTCCAGGGCTTGCCCTTGCCCTTGGACGTCTGGGTAACGTCTCCTTTCTGGAAGCTGCCCAGTGAGAGCCCCCCTGAGCAGCAGTGTGCTGGAGACCCCGCTGGGCAGCAGTGACCGAGTTCAGACCCAGCACAGATATGCTGCCCCGCTGTGGCTTGGAAGAGGGTGGCCCTGCCCTGGGCATTTTGGGCCGTGTAAAAACTGTCGTTTAAGATTTGACATGTGCGACTCCCACCAGTAGTCTGTCCTGTCCCGAATAATAGTGATGATAACAATAACGATGACGTAGTAAGAACGTTGTCCCACAGCCAAGTGCCTTCTGAGTCTTTAAGCTCAACATGAGACTGTTTGCTCTTGAAATTTCACCTGGTGTTGTGTCTGCTTTTTTAGGGTTTTGTTTTCCATAATGTCTTTTATCTGTGTTTATGCAGCAAGCACGAGAAATGGTGTTAGAGATCATCCGAGAGAAAGACCAAGCCGACTTTCGAGGGGTGCGCGGTGACTTCGCCTCCCGCCCGGGAGGAGGCAGTATGGAGGTAGGCTCGAATCACAGGTCAGTAGGCAGAGGAGATTCGGGTTAAGGTTGTAGGTCGTACATCTTTTGGCTTTTTAACCTTGAGCGAGTTCTTTAATTTTGTCTCATCTGTGCAGTCCTGAGTGGACGCTCGCTCCTCAGAGGGGGCACGAGGGCAGTTCGGGACAGTCAGCTGTAGTGAGGGGAGACAGCTGCGTGTGTGCCTTTCAGGGCAGGGCCATTCCCTGGCTTTGAGGTTCTGCTTCAAAGCTTATCCTCCCTTCCAAGTGAAGACCAGAGTCCAAGTTTTCTTGGTGATCAGTGTTGTGATTGTTTCACACTCAGAGGCCAGATTTATTGGTGAGGTGGGATGGCATCAAAATCCGTCTTTTAGAAATGTTTAAAGAACTCATGGTTATAGAGAGAGAGAGACGTTGACTCGTTGTTCCGCTTACTTACGCACTCACTGGTTGATGCTTGTATGCTGGGGATCGAACCCACAGCCCTGGTGTACTGGGACAGCACTCTGCCCAACGGAGCTGCCTGGCCAGGGCCAAAATGAAATTTTGATATATGCTACAATGTGGATGGCCCTCGCAAATAATATGCTTCTATAATAAGCAGCCAGATATTCCACACATACCTGGAGTAGGCAAACCCATAGAGACGGCAGGTGGAGTGGAGGTCCCCAGGCAGTGCAGCGAGTGGAGGGGGGCGCTGTCGGAGGGACCCAGAGTTCCCACTCGGGGGAGGAGAGGGCGGGGCGGGGCTGCCTGGGGGCTGCGCGGCGTGGGAGTGTGTCTGTGCCACTGGGTGCCGTGCTCAGGCTGAGATGGCAGCGTCGTGGACAAGGTACCACGGTGGAAGAACGAAACACCGTTTCGGAGGACGCGGTACAATGAATGTGTCTGATGTATTTGTGCTTATTTCATAGAATTTGGAAGATAATTTGCCATTTTTAATCTTTTATCTCTCAGGTTTTTCTTGCTTTTCTTCATTTTTATAACCACTTTGATTCAATCTCAGACTTTCTGGATGCACTTAGCTAACAGAAATGCAACCGTTAACCACAGTGCTGTTTTGAAAAGGAAAGATGCGCTACACGCACTGCAGTGAGACTCGGGCTGTGTTAACTCACACGCCCTCGCTGAGGGGAGCCAGGTGTGCCAAAAGCTCTGACGAGGTTCTGTTTCTCCACGCGTAGGTGTCTGTGCCTAGGTTTGCTGTTGGGATTGTAATAGGAAGAAATGGGGAAATGATCAGAAAGATCCAGAATGACGCTGGTGTGAGGATTCAGTTCAAACCAGGTTGGTTTTGGTCCTTTTCAACAATCCTGTAATTTTAAAGCACCTCCCAAAACAAGGACTCTGCAGCTGGCCCGCCTGTGTTCTGGTCTTCCTCTCCCTCTCCCTGTCCCTCTTTCCCTCCTTTTGCACCAATCTGGGCATGTTTTCCAGGGCCCTTGCTGTGCCTGAACGCTCTGGCCTGGGGTCTCCAGGGCTCTCTCCACCACTTAGACTGGTAAAGCAGGGAGAATCAGCATAGCCTTTCCAGCTCTTCATTTTGCCACAAAGGCTTTTTAAAAAAATCTGTTATTTTGCCCTGACTGGGTGGCTCAGTTGGTTAGAGTGTTATCCTGATACGCCAAGGTTGCGGGTTCAATCCCTGGTCAGGGCACATAAAAGAAACAACCAATGAATGCATCAATAAGTGGAACACAAATCGATGTTTCTCTTCATCTCTCTCGTCCTCTCTCCCCCTTCCTCTCTCCAAAATCAATAAAATGAATAAAAACTAAAATATTGTTTTGACGTCAGAGATTAGAGGTAACTTAAAATCGTAAAAAAGGACAAACGTTAGAATAAAGAACGGCTCTTTAAATTCTGTTAGTCTATAACCAAACCTGCCTACAGTGTCTTTATTTTCCTCATTTCTCTAAAGATGGCAAAACACCTCGAGGGGCTGGTTTTGGACGCCGTCCTCGTCGCTCCCCCGCCTTCCCGGCCTCGTCTGCGTCTCTGTCTCTGTCTTTAACGAAAGCTCCTTTCAATGTCCGCAGTCACAGACAGATGCGGCCGTGCACCTGCCCCTGCCGAAGGGGCCTGGGTCTGGCGGTGTTCTCATCGCCCCTCTGGTGTTGGTAGGGACACTGATTGCAAGTTGGGGTGACCTTTGTCTCTTTCTTAAGCTGGGCTTTCCTAACCCCACCTCTCACCTTGTTCCACAGACGATGGTATTAGTCCAGAGAGAGCGGCCCAGGTCATGGGGCCCCCCGACCGATGCCAACACGCGGCCCACGTCATCAACGAGCTTATCCTTACAGCCCAGGTGGGTCTGGCCGTGTGTTCAGGCACCTCACGCACTGCAGTGGCCGGGGCCGCCTGCGGATCTGAGGCAGCCCCTCTCCCCTTGCCCCTGTGCCAGTCGCTGCAGGGCACCGTGGTAACCGATGACGGGTTGGCACGTCCCCAATTAAGCAGCACTGGGGAGATTTGGGATTGGTTGGAGCCGAAGAGAGAAGCAAATATTGGAAATTTCTTCTCAATGTTGATTTTCTTCTTAACGCTGAGACTGCTCCTTCCGGGGCTCACACGCACTGGGCCTACCAGAAGGCAGGGAGTAGCTGCCAAAAGGCCGAGGCCGTTTGAAGTGACACGTGAGTGACAGTGCATGACTTCTGACCCTCCCCTAATCATGCTGCTATACAGAGCAACTCAGACGCTGCTGTGTGAGTCAGAACACCTTGCAATTTAACTAGCACAAAGGATGAAAGGATTTTAAAAGGACACCTGGTTATCCCGCTCCCCAGAAGAGGGAGGGAACCAGCCGGGCTGCGGCGCATGGCATGGGGCTGGGGCTGGGGCCGCCGCTGACCCATTTTCACACTGTCCCCAGTGGAGAGCAAAGCCCACGCCCGACAGCCAGCAGAGGACGGTCCCTTTCATCCGAGGGCCACACATCTCCTTCCAGGCTTTGTCCCGAGTCCCTCTGGAGCTGCGGCACTAGAATCTCTCCAACATGGAGGGAAAACCTGGTCGGTCGGGCTGAGCTTGGCTCTCATGGAGGGAGATGCTGAACAGAGGCTGCAGGTGGGAAGGAAACGTTTGGCACAACCGGCCCCCGTGGATGGAGAGAGAGCGAAGGCCCCCCAGAACCGCGTTCCTCCGCCCTCCCCTCTGACGAGAGACAGAGGGAGGAGGGAACAAGGTAGTTCAGGGGCTGATGTTCACGTTCATGCACACACGTATGCAGCCAATGTCCTGGCTGTGCCCCAGAGTGCTCAGGATGGGCTCACTGTGCAGGCTTCGCAGCTCCAGGTTCATGAGCTCTTTCTACTGAGAAGGGGGCGGGACTCTTGAGTGACTCCTTCTGGAACGCGTCTCACCCCAAGATTCACCTGGACTCTGGCTGAGATCCACACGGGTCTTGGGGACTCCGGTTCGGAAGGTTGTGGCACAGGTCCTCAAAAGTGCCCCTGCAGCACGCACTGCCAGGTGACTCAGGCAATCTGGTGTGGGACCCCGTGTTGCTGAGAATACTTGGCCAAGAGAAGTTCAAAGACTCATCCAAAGTCACAAGGCGAATGGCAGAGCTGTGTGTGTGCACGTGAACATCAGCCCCTGAACTACCTTGTTCCCTCCTCCCTCTGTCTCTCGTCAGAGGGGAGGGCGGAGGAACGCGGTTCTGGGGGGCCTTCGCTCTCTCTCCATCCACGGGGGCCGGTTGTGCCAAACGTTTCCTTCCCACCTGCAGCCTCTGTTCAGCATCTCCCTCCATGAGAGCCAAGCTCAGCCCGACCGACCAGGTTTTCCCTCCATGTTGGAGAGATTCTAGTGCCGCAGCTCCAGAGGGACTCGGGACAAAGCCTGGAAGGAGATGTGTGGCCCTCGGATGAAAGGGACCGTCCTCTGCTGGCTGTCGGGCGTGGGCTTTGCTCTCCACTGGGGACAGTGTGAAAATGGGTCAGCGGCGGCCCCAGCCCCAGCCCCATGCCATGCGCCGCAGCCCGGCTGGTTCCCTCCCTCTTCTGGGGAGCGGGATAACCAGGTGTCCTTTTAAAATCCTTTCATCCTTTGTGCTAGTTAAATTGCAAGGTGTTCTGACTCACACAGCAGCGTCTGAGTTGCTCTGTATAGCAGCATGATTAGGGGAGGGTCAGAAGTCATGCACTGTCACTCACGTGTCACTTCAAACGGCCTCGGCCTTTTGGCAGCTACTCCCTGCCTTCTGGTAGGCCCAGTGCGTGTGAGCCCCGGAAGGAGCAGTCTCAGCGTTAAGAAGAAAATCAACTCCTGACCCTCTAGGTTATGGCCCAGTGACGCAGGCTCTAGGGAGAGAAGGGCGCTGGGCTTTGGACCCAGGAGTTGCTACCTGATGGCTGTTCCTCGGGTCTGCCTTTGCTGTCTCTGTAACCACATGCACCTGTCTGCGCACGCGCTCCCTGAGTGCACCTGCGATTTGTGTTCATTCCGCTTCTGAAGAGCACTTTGGAGCCTGAAATGAGCGGTGCGCGGGTTCTGGTGCGTGGCGTTGATTGCATCCTGTCACTTAACCTCCTCCGCAGAGACGAAAAATGGCGCTGATGGCAGTGGCATGAATCTTCACTTAAGCTTTGCTTCTTTCCCAGGAGAGAGACGGCTTTGGAGGCCTTGCCGTGGCCAGAGGACGAGGCCGTGGCCGTGGCGACTGGAGCCTGGGAACCCCTGGTGGCATCCAGGAGATAACCTACACAGTGCCCGCAGACAAGTGTGGCCTCGTCATCGGCAAAGGTAGGAGGCCGCAGCCAGGGTTCTCGGGTCCCTCCCCCGCTACTCATCGGAGAGCCAACAGGTCACACACCCCCAGAGCACAGGACGGGGCTGCTTGCCACACTTGTCTGTGGCGTCAGCTGCCTTCGGGAGCCCTGCTTCGTGCGGTCTTCTCATGAGTGGGGGCAGAACATGGGGACATGTGACAAGAGAGACCCACCACCTCTTGAAGCAGCCTAGTTGCTGGAAAGGCTGCAGGCTTGCCTTTGAGTGTCCGTCGGCTGAGCAGTGACTGACCCGCCTCCGAGGGCCGAGGAGGAGCAGCTAGGGTTTCCCCAGGGGAAGGCTGCTTTCAGACCAGGGTGCCGCTCCTCTTCCTCCTGGGTTTGGGTGCTTGGTCTTGGTTGACACGACGTGTGAGAGTGGTCTGTACCCTTCCAGCACATTTACTGTGCCTGACAGACACCCTGTGCAGGGAAATAAAAACTGGTTTGCTGGGTGTTTCCAGGCATTTTAGAGAAGACTGGATAAAACCCTTGTTCGTGGCTGGTGTGCTCCTGCCCACCTTCCCATGAGAAGCAAGGAAGGGAGCAGGCACGTTGCTAGGCCACTGGGGCTGGTTCATCTGGGCTGGCCTTGCCTTAAAACCAAGAAAGGCTGCAGAGAGCCCTGGCTGGTGTAGCTCAGTTGATTGAGCACCAGCCTGTGAATTGAAGGGTCGCCAGTTCAATTCCTGGTCAGGGCCAGGAACATGCCTAGGTTTCAGGCCAGGTCCTAAGTTCAGGGTGTGTGAGAGGCAACCAGATGTTTCTGTCCCTCTCTCCTTCCTTTCCCCTTTCTCTGAAAGGCCACTAAGAGCCCGCCTGTGGTTCACGGTCCGTTCCCACCCCCTGGTCCTGCCCCCAGCAGCGTCTCAGCCTCTCTCTGCTCCAAGCAACGCCTTGGTACCAACTGATGACTCTGGTGTTGGGCGTTGTGTTTAAGGAGATAATAGTCTTGTATCCACAGCTTCTCCAGCTCCTGTGATCCCCAGGCATCTCATAGCAGATGAAGGGGAGGGCTGCCGGTTCTTCCACAGAACGTGATTTGGGAATGTCTCCCCCGGCAGCAGGCTGAGGCCGCCGCTGCCCTCCCCTCACTCTGGGGTGGGCTGGGAGCTCCTGCCCCCCCCCCACTTCCCCGCCGTGTTTGTGCTCTTCTGAAACGTCCATCTCTCACATCTGTGTCATCTCTGAGATTCTCAGAGGTGGTGCGAACAATATGGGTGTGTTTCGATTTCCTGGCAGGGTGTCCGTGCTGAGGAGTGTTGGTGGCCCTTGCTAGCCACCCAGGTGCTGCGATTGTGAGACATGCTGCCCAGCCCCACACCCTGGCGGCTGCAAGAAACAGCGCCCTTGGCGCCTGTGGGTTGAGAGGCAGATGTTGGTTCTGTCTCTTAGGATAGCCATTTTTATCAGCACGGTTTTTCAGCGAACACATTTCTCTAGACGCCGACAGAGCCCGCTGTCTTCACTGGGACAGTGCTCTTGGGTTCCCAGGACAGTCTCTCTTAGCTTATCTACTGAGTCACCCCGAGTGATTGCCAGAGGCAAGTGTGACAATAGAGGAAGCCGCACTGTTGGCGCTGCAGTCACAGCCTGGAGGAGCCTAGGAAAGCTTTGTTGGGGGGGGCTCTCTACACCACCCCCCACCGCCAGGGCTGGATATGAGCTGCTCCTCCTCCTTGGGAAAGACGCAGGGATGGGTGGGGGCAGCGAGGGAGAAGGGAGGGCGCCACACGCAGTGGGGCCCTGCTCCCCGGCCCCGGACGGACAGACGCCGCGCCTCCCCGGCCGCTGGATTTCCATGATAAACACAGCAGTGCTGACAGACAGTGTGGCCAGCCCCGCTCTTGTCAGCCGGCCTTTTAGCAGGTTTGATTGATTACTTTACGATTTCACAACCAGCCTGGGGGGGCCACTGGTGGGTCACTCCTGCCTCCCATCAGGTGGAAGAATGGAGCGGGCTGCCTGAATGAGTCTATAGGCGGCCACATGCGCCAAGCTGGTGACCTCATTTGGAAGGAAGATAAACTTAAATTAACTCCTTCCGGCACCCGGCAGTTTTGTGGGGCCTCCTCCCCTTACTAGCGTGCTCCGCAGGCACAGGCCCGGGGAGAGGGGCTGTGGGCTGCTGGGCTGCGTGCCCGGTGGGGGCAGGGGCCTGCAGGGTCTGGTCTCAGCCCCTCGCACCCTTCCTGCCCCCACTCCACACTCACACGGGCAGGCTGAGCGGAGGCAGCGGATCCGGAGAGCGGTCTCCACTGAGTCTTGGCTCTCCATCGCTTCCCGAGAGTGCTGCTGCCGGCGAGAGAAGCTGGTCACTGTTCACGGGGGACAGGCCCGGGGCTGTCCCCAACACCAGCGTGTCCACTCAGGGTGGAACATGAAGGGACACTGTCCTCAGACTGTTGCAGAACTTGGAGAAAATTGTGCACACGCGACTTTCAGCTCCCGAGTCCCTTTTATAATTCGCTTTTCAGTGTAAAACCGTCCAGAACTCAACCCGCATGCTGTCCACACCAGGCCTGGAGCAAAGCTTCGTCCCAGTGCCCACAGCCCCGGACTCCTTCCCATCGTTGGAGGGCTGCGCACATCGCTAGCAGGAGGGACGGCTGGACCCAGGCGCCAGCTTTGCTTCTTGACCCCAGTAATGTCCCCCAGAGAGGACCGGTGTCCCTTAGGCACCTCCTCCTTGGCCGGATGTCCAGCTGAGGCCTCCCACTGGCGGCGTGGAGGGCAAGTTGGGGTGTGCACAGGACTGCGGACGTGTCACAGGCAGAGAGCACGGATCGAGTGGCATTAGACGCTGGCCTTCAGTTTGATCGTTCGGGGCTCCCTGGTCCCCTCACCGGCATTTCCACAGATCGTCCTTTTCCAGTTTTGCAAACACTGCTGACGTTTCCCTTGTATTGCGCCCCCACCCAGCTGTGCAGAACCAGCCTGTACGTTCTGGGAAGTTGCAAAGGAAGAATCGAACTATTGTCACACTGGTGGTGCTTTTGTTATGCAAATTTCATTAAGAGACTAGGACTGTCACAGGTTTTTCAAAGAATCCCACTAAATTTTCATCTGCCAGGCTCCACCCAGGCCTCTGTGACCCCATCCTCCGGCTGCCTCTCTGTCTAGACCTGTCCCCCCCACAAAGGAGGCAGGGACTTGAGAAGTGACAGGATGGGATTTTCAGGGCCCAAGTGCGCTGCAGGCATTGTTGGGCCCTGCGGCTGTCTGTCTGACCTGTGGGAGCGGGGCGAGCGGCAGGGCCGTGGCCCCCATTGTGCCATGGAGGGGCCATCGGGTCGCTGGTCTCCGGCAGAGAAGGATGGAGCGCCTTCCCTGGGTGGCTGGTGGGAGCTGGGCCTCGGCCTCCTGGGGCTGAGCTCCTTTGTGAGCCGGGCCTGGGTCCTGGCTCTGTGGACGACACTGAGACAAAAACCAGCAGTCTGTGGCTTCAGCCTGGCTCAGAGAGAAGGGGAAGCGTCCTATCATGAGTCCGGGTTTGCAGACGAGAGCGCCCCAGTGTCTGTAAAGACAGTGAACAGACCTCTGTGTTGTCTGGGCGAGTGCGGGTGTAGGGAAGGCCCCATTCGCCTCTTCCGTCTGGAGCAGAGCCTTGCAAACCCTTCCCGTTTGCTGCCGCCACTTACCCTTCCGTCTCCCGTGCTCCTGCCTGCAGGAGGCGAGAACATCAAAAGCATAAACCAGCAGTCGGGGGCCCACGTGGAGCTGCAGCGGAACCCCCCTCCCAACACGGACCCCGGCCTGCGGATATTCACCATCAGGGGGATTCCTCAGCAGATCGAGGTGGCCAGACATCTCATAGACGAGAAAGTTGGGGTGCGTACCAGGCCCTTCCCCCACCAGGCTCACTGACAGCTGGACTTTCCACTGAGCATCTGAGGTGCCTCTTTTTCCCCAGAGCCTCGCACTTCCTGTGCCTCTCGGCCCTCACCTGACGTGAGGGCACCCCTCTCACTTTGCTGAGGGGGACGGTTGGCGTCCAGGGATACCAGGCGCAGGCGCCCTGAAGGATGCCTCCTGGCAGAACTCCCCCAGGCCACCAGCTCAGGCCCCAGAGCCGTGCCCCCCGCACCCCCCCTCCCCCGCAGGCTAGACAAGCAGCGGCTGCAGCCCCCCAGCACCGCCCCACAGGCGGGCAGCTTTCATTGACTCTGGCTTTAGTTGCAGGCGCCTCAAAGCAGATAAAGAAAGGGAGTGTTGATGGAGGACAGATGGGCCACTGCTCACCTCAGAGGGGACGTAGAGTGGCAGAAAGAGCCGTGGGCCAGCCTGAATTGACGGGAGAGTCAAGCAGGTTGGTCCCCACCCCCAGGGTGACACGCTAGGGCAGATGTGGCGCCAGTTCGGCTGCGTGGTGGCCTGGCCCCTCTTGGGGCAGAGCCATTGCTGCGAGTCCTGTCTGCTGTGGGGAAGGAAGGCTAGCATGAGTGCCGTAGGGTATCTTGACTCCCTTTGATCCTTTCTCCTTAAAAGCTGTGGTCTGCCTCGGGGGGCCGGGCAGAGGGCAACGGTGCTCCTACACTTAGTGAGAGTTCCCTCTGTGCCACGACAGGGCCCCGGCCTCGGAGCACCTGGAGCCTTCGGACAGAGCCCCTTCAGCCAGCCTCCTGCGGCCCCTCACCAAAAGTGAGTCCTCCCACCCATCCCAGCAGGGAGAGCCACCCCCTCCCCAGCGGCCCTTCTTCCCGGCTGCGGCCGGGCAGTGCCAGCTAGAAGCCTGAGGTTCTGGGTGCGGGCAGGCCTCCGTTCTCCCTCCCACCCGTGACCCTCTGGCCAGTCCACAGGTCACTGACCAGTGCTGGGCTGAGAGCCTTCCTGGGGGCTGAGTCTGGTCCCCAACAGTATCCCCAACATCACCCCCACACTGCTGCAGGGAAGGAAGCTTTGTACAAAAGTCTTCCCGTTGTGGGGTCCTCAGCCCTTCGACCTTTTCCCCCCACTCTCAGCACCTTCCCTCCGAGGAGCTCAGGGTGCTTCCCGAACATCGCTGCTAAAGTCAACGGAAACCCCCACAGCGCCCCCGTGAGGTCGGTGATGCGCTCCTGCCCTGGCCGCTGCCGGGGGCCCTGCTGTGCCTGCCTGGGGTGGGGTGGGTGGTGACGAAGTGGCAGACAGTGGGGTTGGCAGGGGTGCACTGAGGTGAGAGGGTGCGGCTGCACTAACTAGTACAAGTGACTGTCCTCCACAGTGGCCCTCCGGCCTTCCTGACCCAGGGCTGGGGCAGCACCTACCAGGCGTGGCAGCAGCCGGCGCAGCAAGTCCCAGGTGAGTCTCCCCGAGGAGGAGGAGCTGTGTGCCCCCCAGCCCCCCACTCGGAGGACTGGAAGGGCTGCTGCGTCTGAAATGGTCTCAATGTAGCTCTGCCAGCGGGCTCGGGGTGCCCCTCTGCCGAGGTGTCCGGGGGCCTCCTGGGCATCGGGAGCTTCCATGCCCTCCGCAGCTGGGCAGGGCCAGAGGGGCGGGCTCTTTCCTGGCCCACCTTCTCAGACCTTCCCCTCTACTCTGTCTTCCTCCGACCGTGGGCCGTTGGAGGGCGTGGCTTGCTGGGCCCTCCATCCCCCGCCTGCCCTTTGCCCCTCACCCTGTGCGCTCCAAAGCAGCCTCAGCTTGCCGGTGCCCTGCCACGCCCCTCCTTTGGCTGGAAGGTGACTGTCTTCCCCTCTTCTAAGACGGTCAGCACCACCGTCTTAGGGTCTTAGGGCCCCTCCTGTCTCCCAAACGGTTCAGAAAGCACGTGCTGGAGAGCTGTCGGTGACTCTCCGAGGAAACTGGAGGAGGAGGCCCTCGTGGGCGGGAGGCCCACGCCCCGAGCTGCAGCCCCACGTTCGCTCGGAGCCTCGCTCTCGGGCCTGTTGCTGGGAGAGCCCATCTTGCTCAGCCTGGGAAGCAGGAGTGCACGTGCGTGTGTGGCGGTGCTCACGTCTGCAGGGTGTCCTGACTGGTTCCAACCACAGGCCAGGTGTCACAGCTGAGCGCAGGGAGCGAGCCGGGGGCCGAGCCTCTCCCTTTGCCCAGAGTGCTCCCAGGGCGGCCCTGACCAGGGTCCGGGGCAGGGCCGCAGCTCGGGCCCCAGCAGGGTCAGGAGGCCAGTGCTCTGCGGCCTTGGCGAGCTCCGCCTCCTCTGGGCTCTGAAATCGTGTGGCTGTGTTTTTCACTTTTCTCCTGCCATGTTTTTTAGCAAATGTCCTAAGCATGTAAGATATTTCTTTAAACTTCGCTGTGAGCACCACGTAGATGCCACCGTCCCTTGTCACGGGACTCTGTCCCAGAGCCTGGTCGTGCTTTGTCTCCTGTTCCCACGATTGGAGGGCGACGGGATATGCGAGGTGCCTGGGGTCGACTTCACACTTGTCCCATCACCCGGGACGAGGACCTGTGAGAGGCCCTAGACTTGGGGAGTACATCTTCACACTGAAGCCCAGGGACACCCATTCTTCTCCCTCGGGGACACTGACCCTGGGGGGCGTGGCTCTGCAGAGGCCCGGCCGACTGCCAGCCCGAGGTCTGGAGGAGCCGGGCGTTTGGGCTGAGGAAGAAGACGCGCGCGCCCGGTTTCCGGCCTCTGTTCACCAGCCTCCATCTTCCGGGGAAGCTCTGTTGGTTTACTTCAGGGGTTGCAGATCGAGAATTGGGTTTGGTTGATGAGGTCTGGTTTTAAAGAGAAGCTCTGCTGGCCCACACTCGCCGTGTCCAGGGGCGGACATCTAGCTACCCACACCCCTCACGCCTGGCCTTCCCCTCCCCCAGGCCGGGGCCCCCTGCTCTGCGCTGCTGCCTGCCCTGGCGGGCCCTTCCTAGCCCCCACCATACCCCATCGCCCTCATCCCCACACCCCTCCACTGCCCTCGGGGTGTTCACCGATGGGGACGTGTGCTGTGCGACACACCTACTGACCTGGGCAGGAAACAAGGTTCCGGCTTGGCGCTGGGTCCCCCTTCATGCACTCCGTGGGCCTGGGCAGGCGGGGCCCCTGCCGCACTGAGCAGGCAGCAGCTTGTATGGGAAGGGGAGGCGGGCGGGCGCAAGACCAGGCTGTGTCAGGTGCCCGGCAGCCCCTTGCTGAGGGGCTTTGTCTGTCGGCACCCGTAGCTCAGGCTCCGGGCAGTGTCCCGAGTGTGTGCCGTGGCTCTGTGTAGAGGTGACACCACCAGTCCCTGAATGGAAGGGACAGGTTAAGAGTGTGTCCAGTGCCACTTGGACTCTGTCCCATCGGGAGGTGCATGCAGGGAGCTTAGCCGACAGTCCCCCCGGCCCTCGGGCTCTGCCCAGCCCCAGCCTCCGGGAGATCTTGGTTTTGAGAATTGCCACCTTCTTCCCGGGCCACCAGGCCTGCATCGGGCTGCAGTGGTGTGTGGCCGCAGGCAAGCCGGCGCGCGGAGCAGAGCCTGGAGTCAGTGGCCGGGCCGGGCCATGACCGCCTTTGTGTTCCCCACTCAGGCCAGCAGAACCAGCCACAGAGCAGCCAGCCGGACTACAGCAAGGCCTGGGAAGACTACTACAAGAAGCAGAGTGAGTGTGGGCCCTTCCGGCCCTCCTGACGGCCAGGCCCCGCCCCCACGCCAGCAGCCTTCTCTGTCCACAGCTCCCTGTCAAACACCCCCCATCTGAGTCTGGATGCTGCCCTCTGTGTCTGCCCTTCCGTGTGTCTCGGGGTCTGCACCAGCCACTCACTTTCCCTCCGCCACCTTTCCCTCCCTTCTGAACTCCAGGGGGCGTGGCACCTCAGCTGGGCGACCAGTGACCGCTGCTCTGGTCCCCTTTAGAACAGCGTGGCCAGGGTGCAGGCTGGCCGTGTGCTGTCCCCTGCCTGTCCGGCTGCTGCCCGGTCTTTTCGGCCAGCTCAGGGCAGGTGGAGGGAGACGAGCAGTGGGGCTCAGGACCCGGGGCCTGCGGTTGGAACGGGTATTGGGGTGTTCATTTTTCTTAGGTAAGCTCATTTCCTTAAGAAAGTGAACTAGGGTTTTTTAATGGAGGGAGAAAACCAAGAGTAGCAACCCCCAAACCCCACGTGAGTCGTTGCAAATTGGTCCTGATTCTCTGGGCGTGTTCCAGAACTGCCGAGCCTGGGTGTTCAGGCGTTGGCGGAAGAGGTGGTGCCTCAAGTGGCTTGAGTCTCACGGGTGTCACCGGTGAGTTGGGAGAGCTCAGGTCGAAGGCCGTCAAAGAAACGGTCACCCTGGTGTTTGAGTCATCACTGAGGGAGGCAGGTCACCATCACCCTGTAGAAGTCCAGGCGCTGCTCTGCCCCAGCCCCCACCCAGTCCTGTGTCTCCTGCCCCCAGGCCGGGCAGACCGCAGCAGAGGACAGAGCTCCGAGAAGACACCCGCGAGGGGATGGGGGGGCGGAGCAGAGCCGCAATGCCAGGCTAACCGAACGGGCGCCCCCAGCACTGTGGCCCCGTCTCACCAACATCCTGAGGGCGAGAGTGACAGGCATCCTTCTAGACGCCCGAGTCTTTAGGAAGGGACCCCTCCCGGTGTCCTTCACTCCCCTCAGGGCGACCCTGCCCCTGATGAGCGCTGTTTCCCCTCGCCCACCAGGTCACGCCGCCGGTGCCGCTCCTCAGGCCGGCTCCCCGCCGGACTACACGCTGGCCTGGGCGGAGTACTACCGACAGCAGGCCGCCTTCTACGGGCAGACGCTGGGGCAGGCGCAGGCCCACAGCCAGGTGTGCAGAGGGCGGATCCCGCGGAGGAGAGGGGTTGGGCGGGAGCGAGGTGCCCCGCGGTATCCCCACTGCACGTGAGAATGCTGAGCGCGGATGACTCCTGCCAGTGCGCAGCGGCTTGTGGTTGGCAGCGAGGGGTGGCAGGAGCAGGGCTGGTCCGTGGGGCAGAGCGCAGAACCTCCCCGTCCCGCTCGGAACCCTGCAGCCCTCTGTCTAATAGAGGCCGAAACGCATTTCGTATTCACAGAGGGAAGGGGGCCAGGTGTTCCCCCAGGGCATGTTTCAGGGGACCTGGTGCCCCTTGGGTCCCCAGGGACAATGTGTCGCTTAGCAGAGGCCCCAGACCTAAAGCTGACTGGCCATCTCACTGCCAAATTGGCCCTCTGTGCCCGGGTACTGTGGAAGCAGCTGTCCCAGCTGGTGGGTGACCCTGAGAAGTATCACGAGCTCACTCCCCTGTCCCCTTCCCAGTAACCGCTCCGGAGAGACCTGGGACCCTCAGTTCAAGGGCCCTGGCTGGGGGGAAGGTGGGAGACACCGCCGGCTCGTGTGCCCTGCGGCAGCTCAGAGGGGAGGGGCGCCACACACGGCCTCCCGGACACAGAGCCTGAGGCTGGACACGGGCCCCGAGGGCACTGCCGCGGGCTGACCGCTGTCCCCTCCCACAGGAGCACTAGGACAGCGCCTGCGGACCCCCGAAGTCATCGTGAACAGGAACCTGTTTGTAACGGAGGTTTTTAGATTTGCAAACATTTTGATGAAGAACCTTTGTTTTGTTCTGTGAAACACTATTAACAGAATTTTTCTAAAAATCGGGAAATTAGTCACTAAACTTGCTGATAATTTTTGTTATTTCAAACGTGGAAGCTCTGGCATTTTTTTGGAGCAGTATCTGCAAATTCAGGCAGAGAATGTGCCTCATAACAGAGACATTTCAACTGATAATGTTTGTATTTTTGTTTTGTTTTGGGTTTTTTTGCGTGTCTTTTTATTTACAGTTTCTGTTGCAACAGAAAGTGGCTTGGAAGTCTTAGGTGGTATGTAACAAATTATTTTTAAAAATTTTTAAACAATATTTAAATGTTCTTAAATGTGTAAATTCATTAAATGTTTTACTTCTAATTTCTTGTACTTTTGGCTGTCTGATTTTATTGCATTTTTTAAAAAAACTGAGCTATTATGTATTGTAATTAATTATGTGAATTCTGAATTAAGACAGAATTGTATTGCTGTCCATCAGGGCCTGGGAGGGGCGTTTTATGGGGTTTGTATAATTTCTAGAGTTACGAGGGTAATATAAAAATGTGTTCACGTGTCTAGCATGTGTTTTCATGTCTCCATTGCCTTTGAAATTGTGTATCTAAGACCTCCAAGCTTGTTTTAAAAACAAAACAAAAAACCTTTTTCTCTATTCTCAGAAATATACTGTTATTTTTTAATATTAAAAAGAAATTCAATATAACTTTTAACACTGTGGAACATTAAACTGCATAAAAGTGTAGTAACTATTTTTTAATTCCAAAGCATTCTTTGCTTTTTTCTTTTAAATATTTTTTAATATTTGTCAGATTAACTAGATGAATAAATAAATCTAGTATTAACCACAATATGAATTAAATAATTTTGATTTAATAAAAGGGATAATATTTCCAGTGTTTACTGTAGCCATGTACCCTGTACAGATAACGTGTATTTTTAAAGGAAAGAAAAACAGACTTGAAGCTATTTTTTCTTGCATTTTTAATTGACCTGGGAGACATTCCGTTTGAAATGTACTAAAGTTACAGTTTGTTTTTTCTTGTTTTCCTTATAAATGCTTGAAATGTCTAACTATTAAAAAAGGTCGTTGGAAATCTTATGCATGTTTTAAAGAAAGTGGTCTTTTTATTTGACTGACAATTCATTTTACACTCTATATAATAAAATTTCCACAAGACATCTTGTGGGTGAAGTATTTTGAGTTCGTTTGCTCTCCATTTGCTCGTCTCTCCCTCTGCCGCCCCCCACCACCACCACCACTGCCACTGCCCTGGAACCAGAAGTGAGGGCTCAGCCTGTCTCACAACTCAGTCCGCGGGTGGCCCAGATTTCTAGCTACCTCGTCAGTTAATTTCATTTTAATGGCTTTGTATAATTTGACACTTCGACTTGAGAGCCTAGGTGACTGTCAGCCCCTCCTTCTTACCTGTCCCGAGTCGGCCCTCTCCAGCTGTGGGTGTGGCCCAGCAAAGTCAGGAGCAGTGTCCCCGGAGGCCGAAGTGGGACTGAAGGAAGTGGGGCTGGAGTCGGGTAGAAAGGGTGGGCTCCCCTTCCCAGAACCCAGTCGGTGCCGCCATCACCCCCCCACTCCCCCACCCCCACCTGAAACACAGGGACTGAACCCCTGGTGGCCTTGTGCACTGGCTGCTGCCTCCCATGGCGGCCTGCCCCTGCTCTCTGGCTGCAGCCCCTGTGACCTGCTCCCACCCTGTCCCCAGCACTCAGCCTGTGTGTGCTGTGCAGTGGGTGTCACTTCTGCCAGCCCCGGGCCTCTGCGGGACACCGGGTTGCTGGGAGAGCTAGAAAGTGTCAGCAAGGTGCTCATTTTGTTGTCCCTGTTTTCACTAAGAAAACAAAGCAGTGTCCTTACCCGTAGGGTTAAGTCCTGGGGGGGGTCCTCTGGTTTCAGGACACATGAGGGCAGTGTGGACCCTGGACCAGAAGGATGTCGAGGAATAAAGCTCAGCCTTCATCTCCTTTTCTCCCCCTTCCTTTCCTGGTGTTGGAAGCACCTGGCTCTGGACCCAGCGCTCGACTTGAACACTTGCGCCCGCCCTGCCTCTGCCACCACCGGCCTCATGCGAGCGTCGTCCCTTCATTTAGACGCAGGGAGCGGGCAGGACCCTGTGGGAGCCTTCCTGTGGCTCGTGCCCGGGTGTGTTCCCAGTTCTGGTCCCTTTCTTTTCTCTACTCGAAGCTCTAAGAGGAGGGGGAACATCTGTGGCTCCTTGAGGCTGAAAAGGGGTGTGGAGAGCAGCCCATCTGCAGCCGTTCTGAGGCCTGAGAGCCGGAAGACAAACGGGAGAGGGCATCTTTAACTACACCTCTAGAGAATCGAGTTTGACGTTGAGAAATTGAATAGTAAAAGCCACTTGAAGAGGAGGAGGGGGCTGAGCAAAGGGAGGGCATAAATGCTGATGATGGGGATGGGAATGAGGGAGAGGGCATTACAGAGAAGACTTCCTTCTAATTCATCTTCCAAGCTCCGTGCCAAAACAGCATTTGGCATGGTTCACAGGGAGCGATTGTGTGATAATGAACCCTAAGGTGTCCCTTAATTGAAGACTGAGCATTGCGGTTTGTGCCAAGAGTCATAAATGGTGCAGGCTTGCGGGAGGATGCATTTTCTTAAATGTATCGGTAAGTACAGATTAGCGCTTGTCCCCAGTGAAATGCCCATACTATAAATTATGGAAATCTCTCTCTCTCTCTCTGATGCAACCTTTTATCGAGGGGGGGGCAACAGGGTGTAATACAGCAGGAGGCGGGGGGAAAGTTTGCAAGCATATGAAATTTGGCCTCATTAACATGGCGCCCACGGAAGATGGTTTCCATCAGCAGTCTGGTGTCCTGGAAGGCTAAAGTGCTCGAAATGTACCAAGTTCAGCGATTGTGTTCCATTAAGAAAGCTGCGTGGTCATCACTGAAAGGACAGCCTGTGTGTTTGGGGAGGTAGGGGGCGGGGCGGCGCCCAGTCTGGCTTCTGAGTTCGTGCCTCACCTCCCACCCTCCACAACACATGCACACTAGGTCTCTGCCCAAGTTCACTATTCAAGGACGCAGCTGGACTGTTTCCAACCCACCTAAGCCTGGGGGCCTCCATCAACGCCCCCGTCACAAGGTTGGAGGAAATGCCTGTCTGGTGACCACCCATGATGTCCTACAGCCCCACGGTAGGGTTGGCTGGGGCCCAGAGGACCCGTTGCAGGGCCTGGTCCAAGAGGGCGTTGGGACACCATGGAGACTCAGCTTCCAGCTGGCTACAGCATGCAGTTTCTGAGCCCCACCTCTGGTCCACCGGGGCCCAGCTGGGGTTTTTTTGAGATGGGCTAATGCAAATGGTCCTGATAGACTCTTAGAGATTAATGGCCAGAAAGTGGCTTGACACACGATTCCACAGGGGGTGCTGGCCCTGGGTCTGCGTCTCGTGTGGGGTAGAAAGGGAAGGAAAAATGAACCACTGAGACAATGGGAACCCTTGCTGGCCTTTGTCCTGAGGGCTCAGAAGCAGCTACTAAGGGGGCTCTGGCCCTTCCCAGCCACGTCCTTTGAGAAGGCCTCCACACCCGGGGAGGTAGTCAGGACTAGTCCCCCCTCTTACAAAGGAGGGTCACGGTCAGAAGCTTGGGTGTAGGGGCCGGTTCTGGCCAAGTTCTTTGCTGCACTGCGTGCAGGGCCTCCACTGAGAGCACAGCAGGTGCCCACGGGGAGCTTGCCGTCAAGTAGGGGACACTAGCCACCACCACGTGAAGTGGTTGACAGAATGGAGAAACTGCCTTAAAAAGTTAGTGTCACGTGCCAGCCACAGGTCAGACCCTACATGGGCGTTACTACGGTCAGTCATTTCTTAATGGAGAAATTACAGTTCATCCATACAGTGGAACATTAGAGTGCACTGAAGGTAAATGAGCTGCCACCACCTGCTACAGTGCGGACGCATCACACAAACATCACGTTGAACAGAGCCCTGGCTGGTGTGTGCTGCAAACCGAGGGGTCGCCAGTTCGATTCCCAGTCAAGGCATGTGCCTGGGTTGCAGGTCCAGGTCCCCAGGTGGGGGGTGTGTGAGAGGCAACTGATGGATGTTTCTCTTGCACATCAATGTTTCTCTCCCTCTCTTTCTCCTTTCCTTCCCCTCTCTCTAAAAAATTAATAAAATCTTTTTAAAAAAAAAACATGTTGAGCTGAGGGGGCCAGAATATGTCCTGTATGACCCCTTACCTAACGGCCAGTGGCAGAAGCCAGAATGGCAGCTGCCTGGGGCGTGCGGCAGTTGGGAAAGAGGGTGAGGAAGGCTCCCGGGCGCTGGTGAGATTCTCCATCTTGGTCTGCGGGGAGTTACGTGAGTCTACTCACTTTGAGAATAGCCATGAGTCTATCTATCCACTTAGGACATGTGCATTTTCCACATATATGTTGTAAATATATTTCAATGTAACGTTTAGTTTTAAAAATTGATGACCTATAAAGGTTTCCCTTTACCAGTGTCCACTGATCTGACACCGTTAAAAGTTGCAGATTCCTGGATTCCTAACCAAACTTACGGAATCAAATTGCCTGGGAGAAGGGCGCAGGATTCTGCATTTAAGCGAGCTCCCTGGATGATTCTCATGTAGGATAAGGTGTGAAAGCCGTAGTTGTGAAAACTGTTTACCGTTAGGAAAATAATAACGAAGAGTGGACTTTGGAGGCAAAATTCCTGGTTCAAATCCAGCCTCTGCCATTTAATAGCAGAGTAATGCAGGGAAGGTATTGCCTCAGTTTCTTCAAGCAAAAATGAGAATAATAATATTTACCTTAAATGACAACTGATCAATGTATCTCTCACACGTGGATGTTTCCCTAAAAAATATTTTTTTATTTATTTAAAGAGGGGGACGAGAGGGAGAAAGAGAGGTAGAGAAATGTTGATGTGCGAGAGGTAGACTGACCAGTTGCCTTCTGCACGCCCCCAGCTGGGGACCTGGCCCACCACCACCCAGGCATGTGCCCTGACCAGGAATTGGGAATCCAACCCGTGATCTTTCGGTTCACAGTCCTGTGCTCAATCCACTAAGCCACACCAGACAGAGCTATTTTCTTTTCCTTTATCATCTAACTTCCTATCATAAAAAATTTCATTAGGAAATCTTCTTGAAAGTTAGTAACTTAAGGTTTACTTAATTTAGGATGCCCACATTTCTTAAGGTCCTCCTAACGTCACAGATAGATGACGCCGTACCATAAGAGAAAACCCATCAGAGCTAGCTGCACTGGCTACTGCACACTGTGAATGTGGAAGCAAGAGGGCAGTCTCTACAAGACACCTCATCTGCTGCCACCGGAACCAGTGCAGGGAGGGACCAAGGCTTCATGGGAGCAGGAATGTGTCTGGACACCTCCCTCACCTCCCTCGGCGGTTGAGAAGAAGTACGTTTCAACGGAGGTTCATTACTTCCGTTGTGGGAGCTCACAGGCTCTCCCTGAGTGTTCCACACTGGCACCAGTCATTCTATGGCGTCTGGATGGGCACATACACTTTTAGGTTTTGTGTGAAGCCAACGGAGGTATCCAGGGTGACGAAGCCCACCCATGGCGCTAACATCACTGAGAAAAACGGTTTTCAGCTAGCGTTTAGTTACCCAATGCCTGCACTTTCTTTTTCCGACCTCTTCTCTCCTTTCCTTCTCCTGTTCTTATCTTTTTGGTTTTCTTCCTGTAAGTCCTGGCCTTTAAGCTTGACTGCAGGTGGCTCTCGGGACACACTTTGGTCCTGGTGGGGGCTCTGCTCTTGACTTCCGCTCCTGAGTGGAGGCCAGCCAACCTGAACTTCAGTTCAACCCTGTCCTGCCCCTAGACCGACCCCTAAGCTCAGCCCACTTCAACAAACCTTAGCGATGTGCAAATATTCCTGAGTGCCTATTGCTAAAGACTCCCTCCACATATCACAAACGCTGAAGCATCAGCTTACAAACTTCAAATGGACTGCAAATAAAGGAGCGAACAAAATGTTAGCCACTACAGTGAAGGTTGCTCAAGAGTAACATACACACTAAGTGCTACCTCATAAACAAACCTATGGGGGGGGTTGGGCACTTCTGTCAAAATCTTTCTTAAAGG